GTCCATGGTGGGGGGTCATTTATAAGCCCCTAAACAGGCCATCTATCTTATCAAAAGAACATTTTTAGGGACTTTGGTGGAAACCACAGCAGTAAAGCAAGTTCTATGTTTCCCAGATGATTCACAGGATCAGGCAATCCCCCCATTTTGTTATAAATCCAGGCACGGCACAGGTAACATCAAAAAGGTACTGGAGGCAAGAAGTGAGGAATGCCTTGGATGGCATTCCCCTGCTGATTTTTCTCCCTTGGGGGAGAATAAGCAGAAACTGGTGATGTTGTATGAAGAGTCAGAGATCTTTGCCAAGTATGACTGTGATACTTTGGCTCCATCAAACAGCAGAAAATTACCTTAAAGATAAAACAGCAATTTAAAGGGAGATCTACCCTGAGTCCAAATCCCAGCTGAAGTCCCACAGTGAGCAGCAGAACATAACGAGTAGTGCCCCACCTTAAACATACTAACAAGTTCAACCATCTTGGCTTGCCTAGGTTTTTAATATAAGCTTTTTTAATCAACACCGACAAAAGCATAATTTTCTTCATCTTCCATCTTGATTTTAAAAACTATGTTTCAGATGTTTTCAGGAGTTCAGATATTCAACCTCCTGGGAATTTTTTTTCACATCCTTCGCCGGTGGTTGGGTTGCTCACTTGTCGCAGGAATCAATTCCAGTTGTAAACCTGTTATCAGTTATATTTACTTGTGATTTATTGCATAAATATCATCCATTTTCTATTCATCAACTCATCCTGTTGTCTTTTGTCACAGGTGTGAGATAAAATCGAAACGTCTCACATTTTTTATTGTAAAAATGATATTTACTATAATTACAACAAGTCTTTATGTACCTATTTTTAACCCCCTCATAAACTTGGTGCTTTATATTCATGAGAGAATTTTTGTTATGAAATCCTGTAGTGTTAGCTTATTTAGGGGTTACATTTTTGTGCAAGTCAGAGAAGTATCACATTTTGTCCATGAAAACTAGTATAAACCCTAATTCATTATTTAAAAACTAGATATAGACTAAAAACTGTATTGAAAGATAATGATTAAAAACTAGGCTGCATAGCAATGAACCATTATATTATAAAGACTCACTTATAATAGCTTGCTGCTTTCATTCAGGTGGTGCTATGACCTGGGCTTCAGTTCTGGTTACACATTGATACGGTTTCTCTAACAGCTAAAGAACTAAAGAGTTGTTTTATTTTTCCTCTGACACACTGATTCCTTATTCCTTAGTTTGAATATTTCATAATATTGATTGGTGCTGTCATGGTTTCTTGACAATACTTGCCAACAGAGAATGTTCTTCATCTTCCAGGTTACAGGCATCACATCATAACTAAAAAATTTAAAAAGCCTCTCAAGTAAGACTGTCTTTCAATATTTTCTGTCAGTATTGTTAAAAAATAAAGACCCAAAGGAAATTGTTGTCATCTAACTTCTAATCAAATGTTTTTTCTCTATAAATAAGGCAAGTAAGGCTTTTAGATGTTTTTGTTTTTATCAGCAGAGTGTGTTTGCGCATGGTCCAAAGAGACGCAGAGTGAGAGATTGGTGTCAAATATCAACACTTGATGGAAGCCTTGGTTCCTCATAAATACACACACATTAAAATAACAGCTAACCCAAAGTATTATGTATATATATATGGCCTATACTCTGTTTGGTGCATTATCTGTGGAGTAGAGGTGGTGCTCTAGTTCCTCTACTTTATTTGTTTTTTTGTTTCAGCACATACCAAACAAAAACCCTTAAGTCAGGGTTATATCCTTGCTGTGCAGACGTGTCAAGAGAATTTAGCTGTGATGATCTTCCCTTTTGCTTCTACAGCTAGGATCCAGGGACATTTAAAGCCCTGCAGTTTATACTTTAAAACTTAGATGGATAAAAACTGCCTATATCCAACAACTAAAAAAGAAAACCAACCATTTCAAGTCTAACATATAAATCATACAATTTGAAATCCAATTTTAAAATCAGTCACAGTTGCTCCTTAGATGTTACCAGCTCCCTTATGGGTCATTATTATATTATATGATATTACAGAGATGAACTGGTTCAGTGTGTTCAGAGACCAGAAGGGTCCAAGAAAAGGATTTTGGTTTTTAAAATTTCCATTGAGAATTAGGATAGGAAAATACATTCTGAAATTCCAGTATTTAATAATGGATTAATGAATACAATTTGCAATTACTCTTGAATAATTCAATTTAATATGTGCAATCTGAAAAAGTTTTTGATGTTTGATTGCAAATTGTATGATTTAAATGTTAAAATTTGAAATGGCTGATTTTCTTTTTCAGTGACTCTCTAGGTCTTCCATGGTAAAGAATATCATATTGTACACAGAGGCATAGCCAGGAAATTTTTATAAGAGCGGCCAGGCAATAA